AATAGAATTTTTCCAAGAGAATCTAGATCAGTATCATCACCAATTGTGCTTTTCATATAAGAAAATGTTTCTTTCAAATGATAATCATCTTCACTTGCTAATGACACACGAGCTACCCATATTCGTTTCTTTTTATCTTCAATTACTTTTTCAATTCGAAACAATGCACCAAGCATAATCAATACTTCATCTTCATTTTCAAAATAACTAATTTCAGTAACATCAGCAAAAGCTTTCGTTTGTAAACGCGGATCAATTTCAATTTCGAATATGATTTTTTGAACATCATTAGTTTTAGGAGTAAGTTGAGCAAAATGAAGAGCAATTGATCGATCACGACTTGTTGATAAAAAAGAATTCATCGAAAGAAATTCACCAATGCTATTCTTCATTAATTCAAGTTCACCATTTCCAATTACTTGACCACGATAAACACGAATAATATTTCGATTATCACAAGTACGAATAAATTTTTCATATTCACTTTTGATCTGTTTTGCAATATCAGTAATAAAGAATCGAAGAGCAAATAACATATCAAAATCTTGTACACGTAATGCTTTATTCATCATTCTATAAAAACATGATTCTCTTGTATACCACCATATTGCATTTTCTGCTTTATAACTCTTTTCAAATTCATCAATAATTTTCATCTCTTGCTTGTTACCTTTATAACTCTTCTTGCAAATGTCCAAAATTTCCTTGCGATCATTAGATTTATGATGCATTCGAAGAAGAACTTCAATAAATAGTTGGAACCACATAAAGATAGCATTACGAGCTTGAAGAGATTGAGAACCAGAAGTAATTACTGATATTGAAGCACCATCTTCTATTTTACTTCGACCAATTTGATCTTTGGATATTTTATCAATAAGCTTCGCCCGTTCAACAAAAACACCATTCACCTGAAACATTTAGGTAACAACAAAAGAAATCCGATGGTTATAAAGTATTTAACCTTGTGATATTTATTAGCCCATTGTTCGTTTGCTTTTTGATCTTGGCAAAAGATATAACATGCAGAAAATTGTGGAAGATCATGAAGTTGAGGTA